TCCAAAATATACTTTGTTCTCAACATATCATTCAACTAGTTCTTCGCTAAAATGTCATAAGAGGAAAACAATTTGAACGACCCGTAGAAACATCGAAACGGAATAAGAAGTTTTTCACTAGCTGGTAGCTCGAAGCTAGGACCTTCCAATGTAGGAGCTAATAAGAAGCCAAATGAACAGAGATTGTTCTCCACGCGTGTGATACGAGGCTCTTCTGATAATCCCTAGAAACCAGATCATTAAACCATATATGATCATACCGGCCAAAACCAAAACCAACTAATACTCGATAATAATATAGAAGTATGATATGAACTCTTTATGAATAAACACTTTATTTGATCCGCATTAGTACCTCGTGAGTATCAAAATATTTAGATTTTTTTTCTTTAGCCAACACAATTTAAGATTATCTGGTAAATAAAGAAAAAGGTTGCAAGGATTCAGATATGAAATATCAACATATTATTATAATTCAGGATTCTACACGAAGATTGATATCTTGTTCGACATTTATATTATAACAAGTTGAAACTTCTTTTATACAGAAAGTGATTCCTATAAATATTTTTTTTTTTGAAACATAATTCCTATAAATATTAATAGTAGTAAAAACAAAGAATAACATATAGTCCTCAAACGCCAACTATTTGTAATCAGAAAAAAGCTCACATGCATGACCAAAAGAATAAAAGTTTTTGTTCAACATACTTCGAAATTGTACATGACTAACAAATGTAGTCATTGATTGTCCATTTTATACTGTCTCGACTGGATATCAGTAAATCAAAATGTTTGTTCAAAACAATTAATATAACTGTACTATATACCATGCATATAAATTTTTGATTCATATGACACTTATATTAATATTTCTTGAATTAGAAATTTAAGACTTTAACAAAAATAAGTGAACCCAATATTTATTTATTTATTTTAGTGTAGATATTGGTAGATAACAAACGAAATTTTGATTTTTGAAATTGGCAAATGAATCTTATTGTGATAACATTCGAAGAAAAATGACATACTTAGATATTGTATATGTGTATACAAAAAAATA